GATCAGGAACAAGACAAGGATGTCCACTGTCGCCACTATTATTCAACATAGTTTTGGAAGTCCTAGCCACGGCAATCAGAGAAGAAAAAGAAATAAAAGGAATACAAATTGGAAAAGAAGAAGTAAAACTGTCATTGTTTGCAGATGACATGATACTATACATAGAGAATCCTAAAGATGCCACCAGAAACCTACTAGAGCTAATCAATGAATCTGGTAAACTTGCAGGATACAAAATTAATGCACAGAAGTCTCTTGCATTCCTATACACTAATGATGAAAAATCTGAAAGTGAAATTAAGGAAACACTCCCATTTACCATTGCAACAAAAAGAATAAAATACCTAGGAATAAACCTACCTAGGGAGACAAAAGACCTGTATGCAGAAAACTATAAGACACTGATGAAAGAACTTAAAGATGATACCAACAGATGGAGAGATATACCATTTTCCTGGATTGTAAGAATCAACATTGTGAAAATGACTATACTACCCAAAGCCATCTACAGATTCAATGCAATCTCTATCAAATTACCAATGGCATTTTTTACAGAACTAGAACAAAAAATCTTAAAATTTGTATGGAGACAAAAAAGACCCCGAATAGCCAAAGCAGTCTTGAGGGAAAAAAACGGAGCTGGAGGAATCAGACTCCCTGACTTCAGACTATACTACATAGCTACAGTAATCAAGAAAATATGGTACTGGCACAAAAACAGAAATATAGATTAATGGAACAAGATAGAAAGCCCAGAGATAAACCCACATACCTATGGTCAACTAATCTATGACAAAGGAGGCAAGGATATACAGTGGAGAAAAGACAGTCTCTTCAATAAGTGGTGCTGGGAAAACTGGACAGCTACATGTAAAAGAATGAAATTAGAACACTCCCTAACACCAGACACAAAAATAAACTCAAAATGGATTAGAGACCTAAATGTAAGACCGGACACTATAAAACTCTTAGAGGAAAACATAGGAAGAACACTCTTTGACATAAATCACAGCAAGATCTTTTTTTGATCCACCTCCTAGAGTAATGGAAATAAAAACAAAAATAAACAAATGGGACATAATGAAACTTCACAGCTTTTGCACAGCAAAGGAAACCATAAACAAGATGAAAAGACAACCCTCAAAATGGGAGAAAATATTTGCAAACAAATCAACGGACAAAGGATTAATCTCCAAAATATATAAACAGCTCATGCAGCTCAATATTAAAAAAACAAACAATCCAATCCAAAAATGGGCAGAAGACCTAAATAGACATTTCTGCAAAGAAGACAGCACATGAAAAGCTGCTCAACATCACTAATTATTAGAGAAATGCAAATCAAAACTACAATGAAGTATCACCTCACACCAGTCAGAATGGGCATCTTCAGAAAATCTACAAACAACAAATGCTGGAGAGGGTGTGGAGAAAAGGGAACCCTCTTGCACTATTGGTGGGAATGTACATTGATACAGCCACTATGCAGAACAGTATGGAGGCTCCTTAAAAACTAAAAATAGAACTACCATATGACCAGCAATCCCACTACTGGGCATATACCCAGAGAAAACCATAATTCAAAAAGACACATGCACCCCAATGTTCATTGTAGCACTATTTACAATAGCCAGGACATGGAACAACCTACATGCCCATCGACAGACAAATGAATAAAGAAGATGTGGTACATATATACAATGGAATATTACTCAGCCATAAAAAGGCATGAAGTTGGGTCATTTGTGGAGATGTGGATGCATCTAGAGACTGTCATACAGAGTGAAGTAAGTCAGAAAGAGAAAAGCAAATATCCTATATTAACGCATGTATGTGGAATCTAGAAAAATGGTACAGATGAACCAGTTTGCAGAGCAGAAATTGAGACACAGATGTAGAGAACAAATATATGGACACCAAGGGGGGAAAGCAGCAGGGGGTGGGGATGGTGTGATGAATTGGGAGGTTGGGATTGACATATATACACTGCAGTGTATAAAATGGATGACTAATAAGAACCTGCTGTATAAAAAAATAAATAAAAGAAAAACAAAAAATAACTAATAAAGAGAAAGAATTGGTACTATCTTCTATATCATGGTAACCAAACGGTTAATGAGACCAAGTTTCTCTTTATAAGGTATATTAGTTAATAAATGAAAAAGAAATGATGAAATATCATCATTCTGTAATCTCTAATGAACTATTCGATCTAGACAATGATCATTAATGAATGCTAACATAAAGAGACAGAAAACTAGATGGTCTTCATCCTGATAGAGGTATCACCTAATAGTCTTGATAATTTTTTTTTAAAAAATTAGACCCGAATCCAATAAATCCTCAATATAGAGATACCAAAGTAGAAGTATCATGGGGGTGCAATCAGCACATTCTAGATGGTGCACAAATGACTAGTTTTCTTTCAATAATACAGGGAGAGAGTGGGAGAGAAGAAGCCATGTGTTAAGAGAAATATAGGAGGCGTATCAATTATTTGTAAAGCCCTTATGCTAATCCTGATTTGAACATGCACAGAGCTTAACACTAATCCCGATTCAATTAACTGTTAAAAATATTAATGAGATCATTGGAGAAATTTGAAAACAGACTAAATATATATTGTTATTAAGAAAGTATGCCGATTTTTCTGTAGGACAATGACATTGTGTTTATTTTTAAGAATCTTTATCTTTTAGAGATACATGCTGAAATATTTATGAATAAAATAATATGATATCTGGCATTTGCTTCAAAATAATCCTTGGGGAGAGAGAAAGTGTACAGGGGTATAGATAGAACAAGATTGGCTATGAGTTAATAATTATTCAATCTGAGCTGTGGTATACAGCAGTTCATTACAGCATTAGTCTCCCTATAAGTCTGACATTTTCCTTCATAAAAAGCTAAAAAATATTCTTCTTTGAAATCTGGCAATGAACATCAGGTCACTATGGGAAAATCTTTAACAATAAAATCCACACAGCTAAACTTAGGGTACAGATTTAAATCATTGTGAAGACTGCTACCCTTGAGGTCGTTTTGGTCGACCTTTTGTCATCCAACCAGATTTTACCAAAACCATCTGTTCTGCTCATTTCTAGCATAGTTGTCTTCTTTGGTCTGTTTGTAGTATTCAGTGAAGCACCAGACGGGATTAGGCTTGGGGAAGAAAACAGCAAGAAAGCATCATAAAATAATTTTGACTTGTTTTTTCTACTTTTATTTTGGTAACTCTACCAATTGAATGATACCTGCAAATTAATTTTACCAAGTGCGCTTTTTCCCACTATACAAACAGCTTTCCTCATCACAGCCAGTAGGAAAATGAATCTCCCAAAGCTATTCTTTACTGGTGCTTGTTGTACAATCCACACATCTGTGACAGTGCTGTCTCACTGAAAGCTCACAACAAAGCCAGCATGATATAAACACATGGGGACAGACAGCATGCTGAGCTCTTCTCTGATACCCCAGAATTATTCTAGGGCTTATAGTTATGACTAGGGCATACCCCGAGGGCTAAATGTTACTAATGAAAAACCAAATATACCTAATTAACTGCACTGCTCTGGGCTAGTGAGAGACCAGAAATTTCCAAAGCCACTTGAGAATGGTCGTATTTATATAGAATGGTGCTACATGTGAGAGTATTTCTTTGAAGCACGTACCTACTCCTTTAATCCCTAGTGCCTGTCTCTTTGGACTGTTTATGCTACACTGATTCAAATCTTAACACTGGGATTCTTCTTGCTAACACTAAAGTGGAAGAGGCCACTATCATGGCTATTTGTCTTGCATTTCATTAGAAGCTATGCATTTTTGGTGCTGAGAAGTAGAAAAAACTAAATTCCACCTACATTATCAGTAGGAGAGTTGAGCCAGATATGATTTTAAAATAATTATCAGCATTTAAATTACACCCAGAGACATCAGAAACTCCCCTTCTCAAGCACACACTGCAATATAGTTGAAAGTTTAAATTTGATAATAAGGAAGAATAAAAGACAGATATTTTGAGGAAATCAGAATGTTAATATTGGAATTAGAGTCAATGCTCAATTTATCCATAGTATTACACAAAAAAGCAAAATTCACAGTAATTCAAACTTTCAGCAATCAGTTTCAATATTTTCCTGCAGCAGTTCTTGATTAGAACTAGATATATGAACTAAGGTAAACTGATTTATAATTCTACTTCTCTCTCACATACTGGTTACCTTTCTAAAGAGGAAGAAAGAGTGGTAAGCAATAGTTACACGGGAGAAGAGGAAGAGGAAGAGGAAGCAGGGGGAGGAAGCAGGAAAAGTAAGGAGCAGAAGAAGAATAAGACAGGCAGGCCTCGGAAAAGGTGGTTTACAGAATGCTGCAGAAAACCGGATGTAATGAAAAAAATGCAAATTGGTTTTTAGATCATTGAGTGAACGGTATGTATATTTCATTTCTCTTCAAGAATACACTGTTAATGATTTTAAGGAATGCATAATTTCAACATGGTATTCTGCTTAACATGTTAAATGCTAAGTTATGGTGTTCACGATTGTAGGACCTATTTGCAGGCAAGAAGCTATGCAACCTTATTAGAGAATGAATAGCTTGTTCTGTTTTGTGCTCTTAGTAAATTTTTGCCACAGCTTCCAAAGGAGTTTAGGTCCTAAAGTTCTCTCACATTTCTATTTTAAAACAGAAATGTGTAGACTTCTTTCGGCTAAAATCCAATTTATTCAATAGCAAATTGAGCTAAATAAGAAGAAATCTAAAGATATCTTGGGGAAGCAGCCAGTGCTTTTTTGGAGCCTCAAGCCAATCAAAAGGGAGAGAACAGAAGGTGGGGTAGGTGGAATAAATGGGGCCTAGCTGCTGGCTCATCAAGTAATCATAATAGTCAAAAACATATAACAATCACTTTGAAAAGTTACTCTGTTCATTTGATAGCTGGCAAAAGAACTCAGCAAAGATTTAGCATAAAAGACAATAAGGCTGCTTCTCAGAGGACTCACCTGTCTTTCCCAGTTTCCTTCTTAAACACTCCATCACAGTAACTCATGCGCTTCTCCGTGGTCACGTAAATCTGGGCATTGGGATAGATGTCAACAGTCTTTTTCAACATGTTGTAAACAATGCCATTGCCGTCTTTCCTCATATTGCGGAAAGGGCCCCAAATAACATAAATAGTAGCATTTGCTTCCTTGAAAAAATAATCAGGGTTTTTCAGCAAAAGAGGAACGCTGGTATGGGATACAACTCGAATCATTGTCATGCGGCCAACATCTTCTTCATAGCCCTTGGTGGGGGCATTGTTCATTCTCCAAATGCAGGAAGACTGATCTATCTCATTCCCCACCTTCTGGCCAACCATCTGACCTGAGTTTGACACTATGGCACAAAGGTTACAGTCCAGTTGCAAAGGCTGAAAAACAAAAAGAGAAACAGGGCGGGGGAAGAAATGTGTAAATTAGTAAGTTCCATCTATCCAAACAAGTTCCTCTGGGAAAAAAGAAAATCCAGATATTGTGCATAACTGCTGAGTGTGGGAATACCTCTGAAATATATTTATACCAAACCAACAGCAGTTGTGTTGCACTTTAACTTATTATTTAATTACGCCTGTCCACTAGACGGTAAACTCAGTAACAGCAGAATCAATGTCTGTCTTCTTCATTTTAACCTCACTCCCCAGAAGTCCCTGGAATACTATAGTAGCTCAATACATAGCGGTTAAGTCAGGAAATGAAAGCAATTTAATTTAGATAATTAAGATAATTTATTAATTAATATAATTTATTAGGACCCTGAACTTAATATTAGGGAAGAAATGGACTTTTCCAATTCATCTAGAATTACTGATTTAGTTGAAAAGAGAAAAGCAATCCAGAAGAAACATATCAACATACCAACAGGTTCAATCTAGGTGGACAAACTGAGTAGCAAAGAGACTCAGAAAAGTCACCAGGATAATTATCACACAACTGTCAATGGTAGGGACTCAAAGTAGTTATTTGACTAACTACTAACTACTATGTACTATGTTCTAGGGGTTGGGGATTCAGCTGTGAAAACTTTAAACAAATATCCCTGCCCTCACAGAGCTTACATTCAAGTGAGGGAAGAAAGGCAACAGGCAAATCTGCACAGTATATGTTAGATGGAGGTAAGTGCTAAATAGGGAAAATTAAAGCAAGGAAGGAAGTAAGGATGTATCTATGTGAATGTCTGTGTGTGTGTTGGTGGAGTGACCAGAAAAGGCCTCAGGAAAAAATTATATTTGAGGAAAGACTTGAATGAAGTAAAAGGGCTGACCATGGGATTTTGCAAAAAAAAACAAAAAAAAAGGCATTCCTGCAAAGCAAAAGCAAAAGTCTCTGCAAATACCCCAGGGTAGGAGAGGAACAATAGGGAGGGCAATGTGGCCTGGCAGAGCATTGAGAATAGCAAGTGAGTACTGGGACAAGAGAGGTGGCAGGGGAGCCATCACTTAGGGCCTTTTACTTAAGAGCCACTGAGGGCTCTGGGCAGGGGAATGACTGATCCAAGTCACATTGTAACAGCTTTGGCTGCTGTGTGGAAAACTGACGCAAGGGAGGCAGGGGTAGAAACTGTGAGAACAGGATGCTGCCATAATCCCAGCAAGAGAGGATGATGGCTTGGACCAGGTTGGGTAGCAGAGGAGGTGGTAAGAAGCTGGTCACATGCTGGATATTTTCTGAAGGTAGGGCTTGCTGGGTTGACCAGTAGATGGAAGGTGAGATCTGAGAGAGAGAAAGGAGTCGAGGATAACTTCAGATTTTTAGCCTAAGAAATTGGAAGCCTGGAGCTGCCTTTAACTGAGAAGGAGAAGGCTTCAGGAGAAACAGACTGGGGGAGGAAGCAGGAGCTCATTTCCAGACCTGTTAGATTTAAGGTGACTTGAACACAGACTCCTGCAGCAGATGTTATAACAAAACGACTCAAGCAGCTTTTATTTATCTTCCTGATTATTAAAGTAATATGGGCTTGTGGAAAACTTGAAAAATATAAAAAGATTAAAACTCTCCATATTTCCACCACTCAACAATGGCTACAATGTTTTGTAGTATTTTCTTCCTTCTAGACATGTTGAGAAATACCATTTATACAATTTGGCCGCCTTGATTTTTCAATTAATTTCACATCATTAAACTTTCCCATGTTAGTAAATAGTCCTTAGCGATATTTTTAATGCCTGCATAATATTCCATTGTATGGACGTACCATAAAGTACCTATCTGCCTCTTTCTGGGCATTACCTATTATCTGATTTTTTTTATATCACAAAAAAATTGCTTTGATGAGCATCCTTATGCTTCCCATTGTATTCTGGATGCTAACAGTTATTACATTAATTTAACTTTACTTCTTTGATTTTGTTTTTATAGTACACTGTAAAATACACTAGAATGACAAGGGTATTTATTTGAGATGTCAAATTAAGAATTTCAAAAAAACTTTACTTATGCAGCCCACAAAGGTCCATTTGTGAAGTGCCTTAAAACTCTACTATGAAAGGGACTGTCCATCACTCCTGCTACAGTAAGATTTCTGAACTAGGCTGGGCAGCAGGTGATCCAGGCACCAGGTTAGAATAGGTCCACTCAAAGCGGGTGAGTATATTAGAGCACTTGGAAATGGGGTTCTCTAGGTTGGTGCCGTAGTGAAAACTTCACCAGTGGGCACATGGAGGCACAAGGGGATGCCTCTGAGAATCAGGCATTGATCTAAGCCCCTTTCTCATGCACCTAGGAGCCCACAGTCTTTGGGGATGATAAGGAAGAACACAATGTTCTTCCTGCCAGACGATTTGCAGCTGGGCCTGACATCCATTACACTTAGCGGAGTCCTCCAAACTCACTTAGAGTCACACAAATCAATGCCTGATTTAAATTGTGTGGGTCACATGGCACATTCCAACTTATCACCAAGATGCACACGGTACAGGGAGGTTAGGTTCCATTTATTGTTCCAAGAAGCTGCTTCACTGTATAATAAAAACATTTTGAGGATACAGGCCTCCACACATTAAAAAAAGAATCAAAAAGAAAGATATAAAGAAAAAGCCTTGGATGTGTTCTAATCTACAACATGTAGCAATCTGCATTGGATTTCCAAGTCGTTAAAGTGAATTAGCTGGTTCTGCTGTAACAAAGCTTAATTTAACTAATAAAAATCAGTATACTGGGTTCACTTGACAATTGTGACCTCTGAGAGTGATCAATTAAGACATCACAATCTGTTTCATGACAACATATCAGGATGCTGCAGCTGTGCAGTTTACGAGGTCAGCAGCTGCCTAACAACTTGAGGGCAAACACTGGGAACAACAGCCTCTTGTCTATGTGACAAACATGTAATTGGGCAGGGTGCTACGAACGTAATGACTCTGGGGATAGGTGGTGATCTTTAAATCGCCCCTTTCTTTTATACTATTCGCTTGGCCATATTGTCACCACGGCCAGGGTGGTAAGAAACTTCTGCACGTCATGCTTCTTGTTCTCAGACCTGCCTAGCTGTCTGGTTTCCTGAATGAGGTGCCAGGAGACATGGCTGCACGGAGTGACTGCTCTATTTACCACCTGGTTGCAGGAACCATCTTTACAGTATGCTAGGAGCGCAGGGCTGGATGAATGAAACAAACCTAATCATAATCAGAAGCTTCAGGTAACACGAAGAGCTTGTTAAAGCACAAGGGACTCATTTACATGTTCGAAGGCACCTTCAAACTACAGTGAGCTATGATAAAAAGAAAGACGCACCTGGGCATGAATGGATGGTTTGACCCAAGAGCTGCTCTGATCTGGTTATCTCAGTTCCTTTTATTAGCTTTATCGCTGCATCTTGTGATCTCAACTTTCTTTGTTAAAACGTCCTGCTGTTTCTTGAGCTCCTTTATGTTATTTGATTTGAGGCCCTTGCTTGAAAATTTATTCCATATGTGTCCACTCGCTCAGTTCTGCCTCAGTAAGCAGTTTCTTTCTAGATTGAGGCCCTGGATTTTCCGAGACCTTTGGAAAGATTTATCTGGCTCCACTTTATCAAGCCTCATCTTAACTTTCAATTCTCCTTTTCAGTTGACTTGTCCCTATTTTTTGTTTTTCTTTATTAAAAACAAACTTGACCTCTTTGTCTTTTCCTCTTGTACACTCAAAACATCAAGCCAAACGCTTTGCTTGGGCTTGGGCTGTGTCTATACACTGAGATCACCACAAATATACAGCCGACCCTGTCTAGGCAACTGTGTCACTGTTAAGAGAAAGCTCACAAATGTCAAACGCTTTCTTTTATTTGACATCTAAGACACTGATTTTTTTTTTAGTGGTAACATCATTATACAGGCATACCTTGTTTTACTGTGCTTCGTTTTATTGCGCTTCATAGATATTGCGTTTTTTACAAATTGAAGGTGTGCAGCAATCCACATTGTCATATGATGGTTAGAGTATTCTAGCAATAAAGTATTTTTTAAATTAAGGCATGTACTTGTTTAGACATAAGGCTATTGCACACTTAATAGACTATAGTATAGTGTAAACATAATTTTTACATGCCCTGGGAAACCAAAACATTCGTGTGACTTTACTGCAATATTCACTTTATTGCAGTGGTCCAGTACTGAACCTGCAATATCTCCAAGATTTGCCTTATTTGATTTGGGTACTTTCTCCCTCTGCAAAATAATACTGGCTCTATACCTGCATATCTGGAAATAACAGTCAGCTTGGGGAAAGTTAAGTATTTGGTGATATCTAGTAAACAATCAAGTAATTTTTACCTAGTACCTATTCCGTGCAAGGCTCTGTTAAGGGTAAAATAATTTTAGAATTCTAATCAGTGTGAGCTTTAACCTCAGTACACAGCCTTGAGGTAGGTGGGGAAGTTTTATGATCAGCTAGGGTCAATTCATATACTATTTTAAAGGTCTAAGGGATTGCCTTGAAAAACAAGTCCTTTCTCTGCTAAAACAAATCTTGACATTTGCCTCCTTATAAGAAAAAGGACTTGATTCCTGTCTGGGATGCAGGGAGAGGATGAGAGAGGGAAGAAGCAGTGTGAGGGAGCTATATAAGTATGGTGTATTATATTTATTGATATTAACATGATTGAATACATACTATGGGCCAGTCATCCTGCCCAGCACTTTATTACATTATTCCATTCAGTTCTCATAATAAATTCTTCAAAAGTTAGTTTTTATTTCCCATTAATGAGTTGACGAAATTGAGACAAACATGATGTCCAGTGGGTACTACACGTCTTTCAGGTTAAAAAGAGAGCACATATTATCTTTCATGAAATGCACTCACAGCACTATTAAGAAGTGGGGGATATTAAAGAAATATTTACTATTAATTTGCACTATTCCTAATATACATACAGGCAAACACCTCAAATCTCACC